TATAATATAAATATGTCAATATAATATCAGATGACAAGATATTTATGAATATAATAAATTCATAAATATCTTGTCATCTGATGAAATATATTTAGTTTTGCTACTATAGTTAATTTCTCGTTCAGTTAAACGTAATATTTAAATGCATTATTTTATTACAAATATGATTTAAAAACAGAGAATAAAAAATTAATGCTATGTGTCAGCCAATGAGCTACTTACAGCAACTTCGCACTAACACGTAAAGAAATATACTTATAATATACTATATAAGAAATATTTATTCGAGACTTCGAAATGACGGCTGGATTTTTTTTCTTCTTATTCTTGATTGTAATAATGACTCAGTTTTTTCTATATTGGAGATGTTTAAAGAAAAAATTGTTTGCTTGCAATTGTAAATAGCTAGTATTAGATGGAAAAGAAAGATTTGAGACATTAATCATTTTTTTTCAATCAATACAATTTAAAATCTACAATATCATAAAAAGTGTTCACTGGCGAAACAAAAATATCAAAACCTTAAAAAAAAGAAGTTGAGGAATCAGCTTTAAAGATATCGCAGCGTTCATTGAAGATTAAGACTAGTAATATCTCGCTTAAAACTACTACAAAAAAGAACCAACTTTTAAATCCAATTTGTGGAATAGGTTTTGTTGCTATAGGAGCAAAATATCATAAATTATTTTCTTACTTTTACAAAATTTTAGAAAAAATTTGCAAAAGATCAATGTTCTATTCCACACAAAAATCCTTTATAAATCATTTTGCTAAGTTGCTGCTGAATACAATCATAATTAATTCAGAGATACTAAAAATTATCCAGAATTTTAATTAGAGATTCTATCAAAAAGTAACTCTTTTAGTGCAACTGAATTTAAACCAAGCAACAAGCAGTAAAAACGGTGGCTACAACAAAGGCACAACATGTTAGTCAAACCCAAGCAACGAAGTCTTTTTGAATTGCTTTTTAATATAAATATTGAAGAAGATGCAGTGTTTCCAGATTTTTGAAATAACTGAAACAGAAGATATGATTTTATGTCACACATGATTATGACACAAAGGCTAACGGATTTATGCATAAAGCAGCTTCAATCTTGCTGTGATAAGTCTCACAGTCTTCATCCGTAGAGTGTATTAAGCTTCCAGTTGCTAACAATGAAAGAATTTTGCTTTCGTAAATTTTCAAATGTTTTTACCAAGAGGCACATAAATAGTGATGGTTAAGATAATGTGTATTTTTTGGAGAAAAAAAAATAAGTACCGTAATACATGAATCATGTAATAAATTGGTGGATATAAAATAACTTCACAATTTTTAATAATTGTAATGAAATTCTATTCTTTTAGTCGTATTTATAAATAGCAAATAATATTTACAGCAATAACAAAGAGTATTATTTCATTGTCAACATATATTTTGTAACTGCAATTCAATAAGTTTCATGCCCCAATTTGAAAAAACATATTATTGCGCTAAAATACTAAAAGTATCTATTATAATTTCTTAAGCTTGTACAAAATGTTAATGTGAAAATATTTTTTGTCGAACTTCGTCTTCTTTAATTAACAGGCATTATTTAATTTTATTTAATGCAAAATTTCAAAATTGCCTAACTTTTCAAGCAGAAATTGTTTTTAAGCCATCTTTCGACGCTTCGTCCTATTGCCTAATATAATTCTCTTAATTACTTTGGTTCAAAGTAATTCTTGCATAGTCACAGACATGTATACACATAATTGATCGTCTATAAAAATTAACAGTGGAACAACAGAAAATATATTCGTTGAGCACAAATCTGGTGGGTTATTTTCTCTTCAGAGACGAGTTCTGATTCATTCAAAACAATGATTCTTGCCGTGTTTTCATGAAACAAGGACCCAGTAAGCCAAAGTCCTGTGGTCTTGACCAGTGAATAGTTGGTTGCAGGTATCAGAGAGGCATTCCTATTTAGGACCGAAATTCTTAATTTTCCATATATATTATTATAATCAGTGTGCAAAATTCCTCCTTTAGTCTCTAAGCTATTCGCAGTACATTTTAGAGTCCTATAGAAGTATTTTTACATTCTAATTCTATATAGGGTCTTAGATTATTTTTAAGGATGACAATGCATGCTAACACTTATCTTGCTGATTGATATTCAGAAGATAAAGAAGCAATATATTTCTAAAGATATATCATTCCATGAAGTATTTCTGGAATGTTTAAGGCAGAGAAATTGCTTTTCTAGTTCAAGAAAATCTCTCTCCAAAAAAAGAAAAAAGAAAAGAAAATTCATGTTGTTTATGATTTTAAATATTTTTTTCATAAAATTTTATTTGATTTTCTTATTTAAAAGTTAAGAAACATTGCCTAAAAAGTAAAAATTATATAAATTTTCAAAAATTATAAAAAAAAAAATTGTTTCTACATTTAGAGAATACTTACTCCTCGTTCACCAAGAGCTGTAAATGAAAATTAAACAAACTTTAATTAAAAAGGTTTAGTATAGAAATTATTTTTTTTCAATATAGGCATTACTGTTACTAAATTTACTTTTATGAAGTATTTTTTTTGCTTAATATTTCAAAATAATATAGTAATGATAAAATACTTTCCTTGAAACATTATGAATGCTTAGTAATTATATATTTCTATATGACATATTCAAATAATCATACTGATAAATAATAAAAGAATGAGCTTTGTATAATTTTCAGCTTTTTAATATTTTTTAAATATTGTTACTTTTTTTCTTTTAAAGAAAAATGAAACAAAAACATTTACTAAAAAGTGTAAAGTAAATTAATCCCGTAAAAATGTTAAAAAAAATTATGTTTAGAGAAAATTTTGCGTTTTTATACTGTGACTGGAATTAACATAAGCTTTAATTAAAAAGGGCAACATACAGAAAGGGCATAGTACAGAAAGGGAATACTGCTACAAAATGCACTTTTTATCAAGTACTTTTTTGCTTAATATTTGAAACAAAAATAGTAATGTTTAATAACTTTATACTAAACATTATTACTGCTTAATTTTTAAATTTTTCTATCTCACATTTTCCAATACTCATTTTATTAGAGAAATATACTAAGAGAATAAGTTTAAATCTCACATAGTTTAGGTATTTTAATATAGTTTTCTCTCCTAATTTTTATTTTAATTTCTTATTTAAATGTTAAAAACATTTCGGAAATGCAAAAATTAAATCAATTCTGCAGAAATTTTATAAAAAAATCATGTTTTGGAGAATACTTACCATTTGCAATTTTGAAAAAATCTTGGTTACGCTGTAATTAAAAAGGTTTAGTACATAAATAATTTTTTTTAATTTCCCCATGTGACACATTGCATAACACATACTGCTAAAGATTTTTTTTCCAATTTTCTCTATTATTCAAAATGTCATTTTTCAACCAGTGATCTAATTTAAATGAACTCTTATTTAACTAAAATGACATTTGCTTGAAAAAATAGATTTCAATACATTTATTATGTATTTAATTTTTTAACTAAAAATCAGTTTAAAGATAAAAGTCATCAACCATTATTTACTTCCTAAGTGATATTCTACAATAAGGAATAATGAATATAATATATAATTAATAAGAAATAGGGCACCACAATTAAAATTTGGGGGAAAAATATTCTCCTTTTGCAGTTTTATACAAAGATTCATAATAGCCTTTTTTACAAGCCATTTCTGCAAAATTATAAAAATCTTGGCGATATCTTCAACCTTAAAAAAGTTAATTTGGTCATTTCCGATGTATTTACTACATCATATATTTCTTTCTTTTCAGACACTGAAAAAACTTAGAATTCTATTTAAAATTTACTGAGAATGAAAGAGTCATATCATTATTAGACTTTAATAGATTTACCAAATTTGCTTTTGATAGGAGATTTCAATAGAGTTGTATGCAAAGGCTGGTTTAACAAATACAAAGGTCTTTTTGAGGAGGTGCATTGTTATTTTTTTTTTTGGTGAAATTTCATTGTTATGATTTATGAATTAGTCAAAAGGTCTATATTTTGAACTCGGACTTCTAAAATTTTTGGACAACCCACAGGCATTACTTAGAAAATGGGGCAGGCTTTGATTGTTGTATATTATTTTATGTTTGTATATTATTTTATTTAATTAATATATAATATAAAATACCACAAATTGCGATTTTGTTTGTGATAGTGAGTGAAAATGAATTTCATTGAAGATCATTTTCTTCCTTCTTTTTAGTAAGTGGTCTTTATAATGAGTTTCTATAAACATCTAAGTGGAAGTGAAAAAAGAAAACGCATTACTTAGAAAATAGGGCAGGCTTTGATTGTTGTATATTATTTTATGTTTGTATACTATTTTATTTAAATAATATATAATATAAAATACCACAAATTGTGATTTTGTTTGTGATATTGAGTGAAAATGAATTTCATTGAAGATCATTTTCTTCCTTCTTTTTAGTAAGTGGTCTTTATAATGAGTTTCTATAAACATCTAAGTGGAAGTGAAAAAAGAAACCGAAGAGTAGATTGAGACAAAGTGGCAAAACAAATGAAAAGATCGTTGGACAAATTTTTAACTGTAGATGGAGAACAATTACAACAATCGTCATCATTTTCACAAACTCCAGAAACATTATTTATGTCCGGAATTATTCTGCAAAAAAAAGAAAAAAAAAGACCAGCAGAAAAACCAAGCAATTCTGTGTCCGAAAGTAGAATTTCAGGATATAAGAAATATTTCAACTTTTATTTCTAAAAGTTCACAAAACATTAGAACAAAACTTTTTTTTTACCATAAATGTGATGCCGAATGTTACTGTCAAGTAAAAAACAATATTTGTAATTTTCATGGAACAAAAACTAACTCAAATGTAACAAGAATAAAAAATATCAATAAAATGTTTTTATGATTTTTAAATATACACACATTTTACGATAACTGATGTATTTAAAAAAGTAAACAAAATATAAAAATTGAATTGGAATATATATATATCAGCAATTACCCTAGTATGTGTGCAAATATAACCCTTTGCGCAAGGACAGTGGTAGACGTTGCTCTGACCAGATTCGCAAATGTCACCTGAAAAATATAGATATTTTAATTAAAACTAATGGTTGGAATTATTGTTCTGTTTATATATGTAGGGCACTATATATATTTTTGCCACAATCGCAATTTAATTTTGAACGCTCTTGAAAACGTAACTATTCATTTTTCTTACGTTCGTGGCCATAGCGGTATTTTGGGCAATGAAAGAGCAGACCAATTGGCTAGAGAAGCTACGTGTGGTGAAATAGACTTAAGGGTGTCTGTTCCAGCTTCTCACTGGAAGCGCATCGCTAGAGATAAAATCATTGCGGACTGGAATGCTGAATTTCTTCTGCAGACCAGTGGAAATTGTGCTTGCGGTGATGCTGATGAAGATGCTGAACATATTCTTCTTCATTGTAGTCTGTATGCGAGTGCCCGAATGAATTTAAAGACTGATTTGAGACGTCTTTCTATTTGTTGGCCACCTGTCTTGTCAGAACTGGTCAAAAGTATTGAAAGTCTTGCGGCCTTGCGGAATTTTGTTTTGAATGTAAATTTGTAAATTTTTCCTCTTTTGTTTTCTACTTACAACTGTAAGCCTCATGCTCTACTTTGTGGTGCATGAGGAGTTTTAAGTCGTTTAAATAAAAAAAAAATCGCAATTTAATGTAGATCAAACATCACTAACGGCATTTTAAACTTTCATTGCTAAATATTAATTTCTGGCAGTGTACATATTCATTGTGTTTTGAGCAATAATAATTTCTCTTCGATATTAAAAACTCGAAAGTACACGAGTATTTTTCAAAATTCGAATACGTCCGAATATGTTTATTGCAGTTTTAAATAATTTTTCATGAATTCTTTTTTAAAAAAACTAAAAGACTTAAAATTAAATTTAATATCGGTTGTAGAAAAATATACAGGAAGTACAATGGTGTAAATAAAAATTAACATAATTTAGTTCAAGAATTTTAAGCAACTTAGCACTAGAGGTGCCGTGAGGGTCATTTTGATCATTTTTTGCCACTTATCATGCTGTTTTTAAAGATGCGAGGGTGCTTCAAAGCTTTTACCTTTTATTGAATTATTTCTGAGTATACTATATCAAAATTTCACACCTTTCTGATGATCAGTAAAATAAATAGGAACAGAAATACATAAAACAGTTAAAAGTAGTCATTTTGACCCTTTATGAGAAAAATGTTCATATTTGAAATTTCATGTCTCTTTTAAATTTTGCAGAACTACAAACATTGGGAAGATAAATTGTTGAACCGAAATTAGAGTTCACAGTACTAGAAACATTTCACGCAGCACAATAGCTTTCGTGAAACTAGCTGAGCTCTTATTAAATTATAATATTATTAACTAAGTCGAACTTATATTAAATTATAGTTTCATTATTACGTCTGCAAGAGACCATCTTCATGCTGATTATAAACAATTTTATTTGTTATAATCATGAAAATGTAAGTATTGTTGAGAAGCAGTTATTTCCAAGAATATTATACTGAAATTTCATTTTATAATGAGTAAGCCACATAACTTTGGTTTCAACTCATATAAAATCCAAAAGAAATAGTTTTTTTCAATGGCCAACTTTATTTTTGCAAGTTGAAAAACGACCAACTGAATAACAACTTAGGGAAAGTAAAGTGCCCTTATTATGGAACCATACCTAAACTCCAGGTACAGCGGAATTAGCAGATGAAATTTTAATGTAAAAATCCTACGTAATTGAGGTAGTTCGTCTGAACAAAAAGAATTCTTCTATATTCAGATTTTTTCGTTATGACGTTCATCCTTTCCACTGGAAAACTGAAACAAACTACTTACTTTACAATTGCAAAATCAAAAGAATGCTATAATTCTAAACAGTATTCACGCGGATGTGTTTGCAGACGAAAACACAGGGAAGAAGCAAAGTACTATCACTTATTACTATAATATGGAATGTGACATAGATTTTACGTACTAGGGATGCTATGTACTTATTCTACAAGATGTGAAACATGTGGGAGGTGCCTCGCATTTCTTTCAAAGTTTGTGATATTGCTGACCTATATTCAAGAAATCCTCTTTCATCTTAATTACATATTGCGAATTCCTTCTTGTTCTTGTTGAAGAACTTCCAATTAGTGGTTTACGAATCAGATAACCGTTATTTGATAAAATTCAGTCTATTAAGTATAAACCACGTGCCTTTTACACTGGTAAGTGCCAGAGAGAAAACTAAATACTTGCTGTAAGAAATGCTAGAATACATTTGGCAATGTTTTGTAGTCCCTTTCTCTCATCATCTACACTAATGTCTAATGAAAATTCCCATTTTAAAACATGTTATTGACAGAAGTGAATTATTTATATTCATGTCTTTCGTTTATTTTCATATTACCCGCCCCCCCCCTTACTAAGGAATGATCTGTTTCACAAATTACATTATACTGTAATATTGTCATTGTGTTAAAATGATAAGAAAAAAATAAAACTATCTCTTAAAACTCTTACATATTGTATTTTGAACAATATTCATCATTTAAAAAATTATTTACTTTGAAATAAAATCAATTTTTTAATGAGAAAAAACTGATTCTAAGTATCTATTTCAGTTAAATCTAAAATCCAGCTGATGTTATAACTCAAAAAATGTACTTAAGAGGTTGGTATTCGATCTGCTTAAATGAATTCACGGTTATGACATTTGACGTGTTAAAAGAGTTATTTTCATGATTTAACTTAATGCGAGTTTCTTTTAATCAATTAATTAATTTTTTTAATTAAAGTTTTCTCAAAAATTACTGGAGTTTTAAATACATTTTATACGATTTTGGTTCTTTAAATTAAATATTTGTTGTTGAAAAATTTTGCTACTATATTATTTGTTGTAGAATTCGTTTCTCTCGAGAATTTTTTATATTTGTTATCATATTCTTAAATTGATTACAAAACAGGGCACGAAAAATCGCCCGTCCGCCCGTCCTCGGCGGTCAAAAATTCCCCGCGGGCAGCAAATTTCTCGAATCCAACGTCCGCGCGGACGGCCCTTTTCCAGTTGATGTTCGTGATATATTTTCAATTTTTGTTATCTTATTAAAGTATAGCTCCTCACTTCTAAAATGACCCTCTAATCTCGAAATACAGCAACACACTGCGCATGGTGGAATTGATGTTTTCTCTGTCTGGGAGTACTGCAGCGGTTGAGAGGGGCTTTTCAGAAATGAACTTACAACAAAACACATTACGTACTGGTCTTAAACAAGAAGCGTCAACCGCAATTATGAACATCTATTTAAATGAAAAACCTCTTTCAGATTTCTGCGATGAAACCTCTGTAAATCATTGGCTTGATTGAGGAACTGGCAAACGTCATATTTGATTCATTTAAAAAACGCAGTACCATCGGATAATAGACAGATAACTTGACCTCTCTTATTTAAATTATTTCTTTAAAGAANAAAGAAATAATTCTAGGTTTTACTATTAGTAACCTAGTATTTCTTTTATTACCGTATAATGTAACTAGTAACTACTAAGTAGCTACTAATAACTACTAATAACTAGTAACTACTAATTCATTGTGCAATTTATATATTTGTTAGTAATAAATAAGAGAAAATTATATTTGTATTTATTTAGAGGTGACGGGTTAGTTTCAAAGGAGGACGGGTACATTGTTGGACAAGCCGTCCTCGAGGACGGGTAAAATTTCTAAGTTTTCTCGAGCCCTGTTACAAAAGAAAGAGGGAGATATTTTTGATGTTGCCTAAATATAAATCTTAAGAATTTTTAATGAATTTTTTTAAAATTAAAAATTATTTATATGTGAGGAATCATATTTTTTTTAATATTTAAATAGTTTATAATTAATTCTCGTTTATTTCTTCGTATTGGATGGTATGTATTCTTTGTGTTAAGTTTTTTTCCTTCAAGAGCAAGTGATTATTTAACAAATACAGGAAATTGTTTATTTCATTTCGATTAATATATTAGCTAAATGTTCTTGTAGAAAACTTCACTATTTGTATACATTGTTAAAGTGTTATTTGTTTTTGGGGAAATAAATTACTTTTGAGAGTAAACAAAAACAATGATGGATGATCCTGGAGATTGGTGAGTGGAATGAGCAGGGGGTATAGTCTTTTATTCACTTTAAAAACTTTGATATTTTCAACCTATTTTGATGCTATCGAAAATATACTTCCTTTGCAATTAGTCTATTTTACCTAATTTTGATACACCTTCAATTTAGGGCATAGATAAGGGACAAAATAGCATATTGAACATAATAAACTATATTTTCTAGAAAGTAGAGGCTAGTAAAACATTTCTGGTGTTTCACAGGTTCTTAATTTATCACATATCTTTAAAATTCAATTATTATAAGAGAATAATTATGCTGTCATTGCCATCTGTTGAAAAGTTTTGTAATATAACTTTTCTCAAAAACATTTTATACCCTTATTAAAAACAAAGATAAGAAAGTTATAAATAAAAATCTAAAACTTTCCTACTGCACAAAACACCCAAAACTTACTTGTAACATTTGTTATACACTTCTCAATGTTTCCTGCATGTATTTTGCTGCAGCACAAAAACAAAGCTTGTTTGAATAATTTGTTATACACTTTTCAATATTACCTAAATATTTTTTTGCCGTTGCACAAAATACCCAATACTTGCTTGTTGCATTTGTTATACGTTTCTCAGTGCTTTCTAGATATTTTTTTTACTGTCTACAAGTCATACGAACTTAAGCTCATATGAATCTGACCCCTATATCTCTATTTTTTTACTATTGACTGCTGTTAATCAAAAGGGAATTATTTGAATAAATAACTGATAATGGCGTCTCCAAGTATTACCTATTTTTAACTTTCGTGCTTCATTTACGCTTAATCGAACGAAATCTTAACCAAGTGGATTGAAATTGATTTTAAAACTATAAGTGGAATGAAAAAACAAAAGTAAAACAAAAAATATCTGTTTATTAATTTTTAAATCAAACAGTCATAATCCATAAAAATAATTGTCTAATCAATAGAAATAATAGTTTGAAAGGCATAAGAGTTTATAAATCGTTAGAATAAAGGGAGTATAATTCCATGTATTTAATTCTCATAACTGAACAATAATTACCCCCAATTAACTTGGTTTTGCTCGAATCGTATCTAAAATGAAGACACATCTTACAGTAGTAATTTCTGTTTGCCCTTATTCATCAATTGAACTAAAAAATAAAAAATGTAGATTTTTCAAATAATCACGATTTGTCCTGTATTTTATTTGGTTGGTTTGATTGATATAAATGTCATTTCAATTATGTGCGATAAAAATCAAAAGTCTTTTGTATTTGTGTGTATAGATTGGTTATTTTATTTACCTTCTGTTCCAAGCTTTCTACATTTTCCTTCTTCTGTAGATGTGATACAACATTCGTCATCATTGCATTGTCTGTTACTACTACACCCAGCGTCAGCAGTCTTGGGAAAATATAACAGAAATAAAAAGAAATTAAAATGTTATTCCATTTTCTCAAAAAAAATTCATTTGTTTGGCTTACTACATTCTATTACTATTAAAAAAAATGTATGAAAATATGTCGAAAGTGTGTGTATGCTTACAATTCTTACAATGATGTGTGTATTACACAACATAAGTAGACAGTCTCATTTTGCACAATATTGGTAAATAACTATTCATTTCATTAACTCAGATTACGAGATTACTTTAGTACCTTGAAAAGACAAATCCAAGATTAATTTTTTCTAAACCTATGCCTGTATACATTGTTGGTAGATCCGCCCGATTTCTTAGAATTAAAAATTGCTTAAAATCATTTCAATTTCAGAAACTGATTTTTTTTAAAAATAATTTCTTCAAAAACTAACTTATAAGAATTGTTCGCATCTCTGAACCGATCCACACCAATTTTGGTGTGTATACTTTCGAAGACACGGCAGACAAAACTATCTGCTCAATAACTCCCTCCAATTATCAGTTCTTGCATCAAAAAAGAGTTTTCAATAGGATTTGATGCATATTAAGTATTTTGAGAGATCTGCAAGCCTTCAGCTCTAATAAATCAAAAATAAGTTTGATTACAATTTCTTACGAAAACTCCATTTGAAATTTCGAAAGATAGTCAATCACAAGTAAAATCAACGTTAATAATTTTGCTAGGTGACGTCAGGGAATTAATATTTACATATTACTACTATTGGAATTAGTATAAAGGTTTATGAAACCACTTGTTTCCTCACTGAAGTCTATCAAATCACTGAAAAGCAGTAATGACGACATAAAATTTACGTAAAAAATGGATTTTACCAGTGATCCACTCAGAATGTCAGTACTTTAAACCGCAAAATTATCGGTGATAACCGCAATCTAGGAAATACGGTCCCGATAGTATAATTCAATGTTTACGGTCGGTCCAAAGTTTGGACCCCTTAATCTAAATTTTATTTTTTGCGTATTTCGTCATACTCAGGAACTTTTTATGCAATGAAAATTTTTATTGCACACAATTTTAAAATTCATATATAATTCCATACAAAAGTAATTTTTACTACATATTAATTATTTTTTATTATTTTATTGAATAATAATCGAAAAAAGTTATTGATAGTTTACTGGAAGTTTTAAGTAACTTTTCACTTCCTACCACTTTCTCAGTCTAGAACTGAGTTATTATATTGATTGAATATCCTAAACTAATATTTCAGATAGAGAAAATAATGTCTCTAAGTTACATTTTTTATAATACTTACCCAAAAGAATGCCAAACTCGATAAGAGAATGAGGCCAAGGAACTTCATTTTGTATGGTGGGTGATCGACGTCGGTAATAGTATATTATATACTTTAAGCAACTGTTTCCCTTTTATGTATCCATTCAAAGTATAAAAGTAAATATAATGTTTATTCATATTGTCTCACTTTCCTTTATTGTAATTTCTATAATATTTTAGTAACGCCAGGAATCAAATAAAGTGAGTTTATGATTAAGATTATGCATTCAGATAAAGCTACACTCGAACATATAATTTTTCCATTTTTTTTTTTTTTTTTTTTTAATTTTTTTTTTTTTNTTTTTTTTTTTTGAATTCGTGGTCCGGAGATTGCAGAGAAAGATTTTTTTATTTCAGCTGTACCTTGATTAGGGTCAATGATGAATTTCAATTTTGAATCCGAACAGCTTGTTAAATACGGTGATATGATTTCGGGGTTAAATCATTACAAAACGCTTTTAACAAAATATATTTAATAACAGAACTCGGGCCACAGTGGGCCAACATCCAAGATTTCGTGGCCAAAATTAGTATTTCGATAAAATTTGTTTCAAAATTTGGGGTTTTTTATGTGCAGGTAAACCGAATTTATAGTTGAGATTTTGAAATACACTAAAAATACCCAAAACAATGGAAATATGGCGTGCAAAAATAAAAATAATAATTTAGTACGCTTAAATAATTAAATATAGCAATGAAAATATAATAATTTTCGTAATTTTATATTAAAAATTAAAAGCAAATTATATTTCCGAAGTAATATTACAAAAAAATGCGAAAACATGAAAGGAAAGCATAATTTTTGTTTTTCGGAATATAGTCCACCTTTGCAATATGGGCAAAATGGGGCAGGTTTTTTCGAAAGAAGAAGCATAAAAGAAGACAATAAAAAAGGTTTAGCTAATTACCTCGTGGAACCTTTTGGAACTAAGTTTCGAAAGTCATTTAAACATTGTAAAATGTCAAATGATAAGATATAAACTATAAGTTTGTCAAGAGTATTAACCAATACAACAAATTGAAAAATTATTCTATAATTTAACACTAATTACTCTGATAAAAATGTAACAGTAAGGTGAAATTCCTTTATATATTTCTGAAACAAAAATTTAAAAGTTACATTTAAAAAAAATTTTTAAGCATAATTTTTATTACTTTGTACTCTCGTCGGTCCAAAAAGTAAATTATAATGCTTGGAATGATTATGAATACTTAATTTGGGCAATATTAAAACTGACTACACATAGTTCAGTTGAAAATTTAATTTTTGACTTTTGGCTAAAGATCATGGTCTTCTGACCCACAGTGGCATGGAAGAAACTGATTACAATTTACATTACGCCATCACACAGAGCGCCATCTATTGAGTTTTAGAAATTATTATTAATATTGAGAAATATTTATATATGCAGCTATTTATTTTATAGGAGTAAATTCTTGAAAAATAATAAGAATTCTTCCATTTAACAAATTAGCCTAATTAGACACTATGAAAAAAAAATACGAATATTAAATTTGATGGTAGAGATAAAAAATTACAAGCTGCTTTACTCATGTTTTGGTAAAATTAAAATAAGTTCCGGGTGTTGTGTTTTTCATTATTCGAACAATTTTCATACGTACGAATTTATAAATTAAAAACATACTTTCTAATTCTAATTAAAGAAAATTTTTGTCTTTCACGAGGACATGTTATTTTGCCCCCAAGCAAAATCCGCTATCTGCCATGAATTTTAAGACTGCAATATGACTCAGGTAAATAAGATCTTTTGAAGACAAATGTATAAGCATAGCAATAAATAAATAGCATGAATAAATAGCATAGCAATAAAGGTTTATTAGGGTGACTCAGAATAAAATCTTTCAAGTTACTGATTTTTGAACTTTAATTCGATAAAAGCGCTTACAATCTCCAGCAGAGAAAAAATGGCAATTATTGATTTACTGTAAAGCGCGTGAAGCAAAGAAGTTCTTAATAACTACAGTTCTTAATAACTACAGTTCTTAATAACTATCCGTGCGCGGATTATCCGTGCTCATTCCGGAGTCACGCAATAAATATAAAGAGAAACATTTTCAAGATTAAAAAAATTTGATTCATGAAGTTATAACACTACCCAATTTTTGGAAAGCAATATTCGTTATTGGATTGCAGGATATGGAACAAATCGTCTACGTTATGGATGATATGGAAAATCGTCTGCGTTATCACGATCGTGGAGAAAGATGATACGGCTTGATGAACAATCCTCTTCAGATGTTCAAGAAAAATATGACAACAGTATTCTCGAACAAGCAAAAGAAATCTAAGGTTTCGAAATTCTTTATGAAGAAAATTTAGAAGATTGGTTTCAAAGTGATGCATGTGAGCCTGGCTTCCAGTATTTGACTGATGAAGACATCGTTATGTAGTTGAATCAAATAGTGATGATAGTAACTGATGCAGAAGATGTAGTAAATGAATGAAATATAATTTCTCATTCTGCTGCTCTGTGGAAACTTTATTAGATTATATGGGAGGATTTGATTACGGTGACATTACTGCTGTTCGTAAAATATGTGTATCGATATATGGCGAAGACGCATTACAAATTTTTTAATAAGGAAAATTCCTAGTTTGATGAATGGGTGGGTGGTTGTCGAAGATAGATAAATGGAATTTTACGATTTATTTTTCACTGGCAAAAACTTTAATTTTATAAGAAATAACCAAAATATTGCATAACTGGATTATTGACTGTGTATATATTAAACCCTAGGGTTCTGCTCTACTGATATTAAGAACTGCTGGATTAGAATATACAAATTTTGTTTGAAGAACGCTTTGAAGAACCATTTGGCTTGTACTCTACTTTACAATAATATTAGAGACAAGTCCAGTTTTAAAATATTTTCAAATTTCTCGAGAAATGCTTATGAAATTATTTTATAACTTTTGAGGTGTTCAGGTCATTCTATTCCTCATACTTAGTAAGGTTAGAAGCTCTCAGAGATTTGAGGGAACGGCAATTAATTACGAATGAAAAAAGTGCTTGTGAACATCCTGTTCCAAAAAATAGAGCTGTAAACATGTAACCTGTATCGATTACTTTGGTTATTGCGTGCAATAACTGCATAAAGTTTCATAAGAATAGCTTTAAAATTTATGGCCATGTTTATAAAAAATAATTCTTTTAACCTGTAAACATATTCTATAAAATTAATCAAAAGTTCTGGAGCAGTTTTTCATTGATAACCAAAATGTAATGGTAACCATTGGTAACCAATTTGTTTAAAAACTCTTTAAAAATTCCGGAAGGAATGAGCATTTAAAATAGTCTTTTCACATTGCGCATGAGCAGAAAATATTAAAAACAAATTTGTTTCATAATTTTGTTGAGAATCATACTTGATAAATTATTAAAAAATACCGATTTGAACATTTTGGAAATTTAAAACGTTTCTAGCTATTTCCTAAGCAACTTTTGTAAATTTTGAAATAAAGCATGACACAGTGCTTGATGAAATATATTGACGAAGTTGAGAAACTGTTGACTAAAATTGCCATCCAATTATCCATTCTTCCTTCTCACAATAATGAAGAAAACAAATATTTTCACGTCGCTAAATCAGTTTAATACAGAGTCACCTCGAATAATAACAAAACAAAATAAATCTAACTTATTTTAGCTAATCAGGAGATAATAATCAAGTACTAGTTAGAACAAAATAGCGTTCCATACCCAAAAAACTAAAAAAAAAGAAAAGAAAAACTCCACTAAATTAAAGTGACACCACTAAAGCAGCAAATATTATTAAAATCAATGCACATAGCTAATTTTATTTTATATATATATATATATAATTATANTGCATACTGTAAATTAACCAGAATCACATTTTTCAGGCATTAGATTATCGAAAAATTATTTGGAATAATGCAATGAATAAAATTAACCTTCAATTCAGCTTGCGATTTCCTCTTCAGTTGCATACTGTAAATTAACCAGAATCACATTTTTCAGGCATTAGATTATCGAAAAATTATTTGGAATAATGCAATGAATAAAATTAACCTTCAATTCAGCTTGCGATTTCCTCTTCAGTTGCATACTGTAAATTAACCAGAATCACATTTTTCAGGCATTAGATTATCGAAAAATTATTTGGAATAATGCAATGAATAAAATTAACCTTCAATTCAGCTTGCGATTTCCTCTTCAGTTGCATACTGTAAATTAACCAGAATCACATTTTTCAGGCATTAGATTATCGAAAAATTATTTGGAATAATGCAATGAATAAAATTAACCTTCAATTCAGCTTGCGATTTCCTCTTCAGTTGCATACTGTAAATTAACCAGAATCACATTTTTCAGGCATTAGATTATCGAAAAATTATTTGGAATAATGCAATGAATAAAATTAACCTTCAATTCAGCTTGCGATTTCCTCTTCAGTTGCATACTGTAAATTAACCAGAATCACATTTTTCAGGCATTAGATTATCGAAAAATTATTTGGAATAATGCAATGAATAAAATTAACCTTCAATTCAGCTTGCGATTTCCTCTTCAGTTGCATACTGTAAATTAACCAGAATCACATTTTTCAGGCATTAGATTATCGAAAAATTATTTGGAATAATGCAATGAATAAAATTAACCTTCAATTCAGCTTGCGATTTCCTCTTCAGTTGCATACTGTAAATTAACCAGAATCACATTTTTCAGGCATTAGATTATCGAAAAATTATTTGGAATAATGCAATGAATAAAATTAACCTTCAATTCAGCTTGCGATTTCCTCTTCAGTTGCATACTGTAAATTAACCAGAATCACATTTTTCAGGCATTAGATTATCGAAAAATTATTTGGAATAATGCAATGAATAAAATTAACCTTCAATTCAGCTTGCGATTTCCTCTTCAGTTGCATACTGTAAATTAACCAGAATCACATTTTTCAGGCATTAGATTATCGAAAAATTATTTGGAATAATGCAATGAATAAAATTAACCTTCAATTCAGCATGAGATCACTCCTCTTTAGTTTCATATTGTAGATTAACCAGAATCACATTTTTCAGGTATCAGATTATCGAAAAATTATCTGGAATAATGCAATGAATAAAATTAACCTTCAATTCAGCATGAGATCACTCCTCTTTAGTTTCATATTGTAGATTAACCAGAATCACATTTTTCAGGTAT